ATCCTGAGAGAAAGTTATAAAGCTGTTACTTCATTAAAACCATCCCTGGAGTTGTGGTTTGTTCAGTTCATACATGTTTAAGTTATCATTTATTAGTCTGTCTACATCTCCAAAACACAAAAGCTCTGTTCCACCTTATGATGTCATGTAGTAGTAGTTTTCACAGCTACCTTTTACCTTTAGTTCAGTAGAGATTGACTGAAATTGTTTAAATGATTCTAGTGAAGGTGTATGGAGTTTAAAAACACAGTGGAGTACTTACTGTATTACCACACAACATCACATGGTGGAACAGAACTCATCGTAAATATGCAGGGGTTTGTGGGTTAAACATGTGTGAATGAAACAAAACACAACTCCAGGTATGTTTTTGATGAGGAACCAACATAGAAAATCAGAAAATAGCGTAATATGAGCCCTTTAAATTTTTCTTTCATCTTTCATTAAGTTGTATATTCTTGTGGGTTTCATCAGAATTAGGTTGAATAAAACTTCTTCTCATATCGGCATTACTTTACGTATATGTACACTATCTGTTTGGACTTATAATCACGAGTTATATCTGTCATTAACAGTCCTGGAGGAAGCAGATGTCACAGGTTTATGCCACGCCTCATTGGATCCACATTCTTATCATCTGCCTTCTCACATCCTCCTCATCTCATTCTCGTTATCTGATTCTTGTCAACCTTTTCAGCCCAAACGCCAAATTAGCTTAGCAACCTGTTTTATGTCATAGCAACCGTCTTTGCGTAGATAAATGTAATAGGATGACCTGCAGCCCACGTCAATAATCTGTGGTTATCTGGATGCACAAAGGGCTGCTGGGAGAATGCGCGTTTGCTCAAATCAACATAATTTGATGTGGAGCCGAAGGGATGTGGTGATGGATGTTGGGGCTCTGACCACGCAGACAGCAGCGTGATATAGACTAGTATGGATTGAAAGATTATTATATACTGAAGCATAAAATGATCAGCCGCTGTCTATCCTCTGGGTGTTTGTAATAGGAAATTACATTTTACAGCAATATTTGTGGCGCTGTTGTTGTGTCCTTGGGCAAGACACTTAACACATCTTGGCTATGTATTTGTGTGCTTATGTCAGTTTATCTCAGGGCAGCTGTAGAAGTAAGTTACATCACCTTGTGTGGAGTTAATACCTGATGCAGACTGAAATCAGCTGTAATTTCCCCCTGGCTTGAAGGTCCCCAAGCTGGAAAGTCCGCTGAATTGTATACTTTATGAAACTTAGTTAGTCAGTCTATACACATATAAAAAAAACTTCTTCTTTTTTTCATTATATATTTATTGTATTAATTACACACAGAAGTTACAATATATTTCATCACATTTGTTCATACATACAAATAAAACATGCAAAAATTATGTCGTCTTTATGTTATGTTATGTTATGTTCATCGCAAGCAGGTAATAATGAATACTTCTTCCCAAATCAACAGTTACATATGCTAAAGGACATGGGGATCAAGAAGAAAAAAAATTAAACATGATTGCATAGTAAACTTCTTTGAGAAATGAGGATTATATTGATATTACAAACTGAAAAAAATGTGTGCTGCTTTGGGAAGATCAATAAAATGACATAAACAAGGCCCAACATTTGATCGCGCAACATTTACATTTCATTTTATTATGATATAGAATTCTGATTTTATAACTTTATACATCATAGTACAAGACACAGCCTACTAAAGGCTGGTGGGAACATCCGCCTCCTGCTGTGCTTGGAAGAGAGAATTGGATGCTCGAGCTGGGACTTTCAAGCCAGGAGGACTCTGGAGCCAGTATTCATGCAGACATATACATTATACCTAATGCATTATAGTTATTTTTTCTTGTCTGCAAAAAATATGATGTGTTTTTAAATATGATATAGTGTATTTTGTTTTAACAATGGGTGCACTGAAAACATATAGTTTAAAATTATTTTAAACTAGTATATGAATGATATAAGAATAGAAAAAAAAAATCCTTAGTGTTGCTAGGACCTCTGGAACCCTCATTGAAAATTCTTGCATGTGTCAGATCTGTGGAGAGGTCACCCAGCTCATAGTATGAATGTTTTCCAACACATTTTTGAGTAATAAGAACAGCTGAAAAAACAAAACAAAACTGTGGAACATTCCAGACATAATAATGTATACATGGAGACAAACAAGTGGCAGACCCTCCACCAGAAAAGTTACATAGGGTTCCTTTAATGAACCACATATATCTTACTGTGGGTTACTGATATGGCTTTTGCAGAGTATCGAATATTTCAGTGGAACAGGCTGTGCTGCTAGAAGTCTTAAATCTTTCCTTTGACTTTCATTGATTATTTGCATTTTATGGAATCACTTTATATCCATAAAATCAGAGGACCTTGTTCAAATCCAGCAGTTTTTTTATGAACAATACTGCTGTCACCCTTCTAAACCTGCCGCTTTGGCGGGTTAGCATTAGCATAAGCAGTCATTTTATGGAGTGCTGTTATCAGGAAGAGTACATAGTGTTAAATTATGGGGTCTTGGTTTGATATGGAGGCTCCTGGTGAATCCATAATGTCTAATACTAAATCAACTCTGACCTTCTCATTGCTGGCGTTCTAATGCAGATGAACTGTCTGTCAAAGAATACATCATACTCCTGTAATGATGAGACCTCGTGTAAGAATGTAATCACGAGCATGAATCACGACTGTCACTGCAAATGAAAATGTGTAGAGACCAAAGGAGGACTGCTCTTTGCTTCATTTCTGTGTAGCTTAAGGTATAGACCCTCTCCCTGTGTTTTCTCCGTTGCAGCAATTGACAAAGTACTAACTATTGATCTAGAAGCAGTTTGATATAATATTACAATATATAACATTTACACTATGGGGAAAAAAAAGTGATAATTGCTTTTCATTTTTAGTGATTTAAATACAAAATTTTATGAATCTGTGTGAATTGACTCTGAACCCCAGTGTCATTGACAGTGGGCTGTACTAGTTGCCTGGCAAATCCAGAATCTCTGTATTTTGTAAACAGATTGATATCAGTGCAGTCCTCTGTTGCCTCTCATGCTTGATCAAATGTGATTGTGCAATCAGATCTGTTTATTTCAGTAATGCATGTGAAACAAAGGAGCTCATTGGTCACATATCATTTACAAATAAAATCAAATTGATCTCACCTCAGATTAACAGAGTTTGGTGCTTGGCTCATTGATTCATCAGAAATCTGTTATGTTTTTCAGCTGCAGTTTTTCAGTGATATCGTTTTCTTTTATTTTTTCGCATACTGACAGACCATGCTTGACTAATCCACCTGTCAATCACGGCCATTTGAAAACGTGGAGATTTACCAGTGACCAGACCAGTACCATACACAGCATGCCTAGAAGTTTTTGTTTGTTTTTAATGCAATTCACATACTATTATTTCAGGTAAGATAATGATATCAAATTGTTATATTGTATTGGGAATTAAAATATGGCTTTGTAGTAAAAAGTGAATGAGGAAATAGCCCTTCTCTCCAATAGCAGAGTAGATGGTGGTTTATAACATTTGCAATTTGAAAATGGCCCCAGGCCCCAGAGCAGCTTGTTGTGCCTCATACGAGTGAGCCACACAGGGCTGTGAAGAACACTCACACGCTCTCAGGTGCTGCAGTGGATCACGTTTCCCATGATGTGGCAGTGATTGATTTTATTCAGCGGCTGTTGTCAAAGCACACGCCTCACTAGACATTTTGTGACAGGCCTAGAACATGAAGCACACAATGTGATATTGATCAGCTTGTATTGTAGATGGCTCAAAAGACTGAAGAATGAAGACACTATATAACAGTTTCATACATTTTTAACAGCCATAGTACATATTCTCTTAATCATATATTTAAGATCCCTGCTCTTCAAATCGATTCTTCACAGTAATAGGCCTATTCAAGTCAGATAAAACTTAACACACAAATAAGCAACAAATCATTTACAGAAAGGACCACCTTTGGCAAGCAGTGGGAGAGCATAAAACATTTGTTAGGGAAAATATCTCTGTCTGCACCTTGGATGCTAGACACTGATGGTGGTTTTGATGAAGAGGAGAGGAGGAGATGAAGAAGCTGATGGTTCTATTGTGGTGGATAAGGATGTACATTTGACATGATGGTGTATTTATGGCATGAGAATCTTAACTGCTTGTCTCAGGAAGATGTTACTGCTTTGCCTGCAATGTTCCACAGTACAGCAATGAACATATCTTTTTTAACATATATTCAACTGCAGGTGTTTTTCCTCACAAAACTATCTTAGAAAAGCTTGCATTATTATGGTGAGCAGGCCAGCCTCTCAACAGTTCTGACCTGTAAGCTAGCGATACTCTTTAAGGGCCCATATTATATTCTATTTTCTGATCTGTTATAATGTTGTTTCCTCATCAAAACATACATGAAGTTGTGTTTAGATTTATTCACACATGTTTAACACTTGGTTCCAACTTGTGATATCAAGTACTCCAATTTGTTTTTAAACTCCATACACCTTCAGTAGAATCATTTGAATTCATTTTAGCCCTAGAATTGTTCATTTCTACTGAACAAAAGGTAAAAAGGTGGCTAAAATTACCATTACATGACATCACAAGGCATGCCATACTGCAAAACGTTCCAGGCAAAGCCGTAACATTTCCATGGTGACTAGCAGGCGTCAAACAAGATCTGTACAGCAAGGTCTGTACATTTAGTGACCGTTAAATGTTTTAGTGTGGTGTTTTCTGGTGAGTTGTCCTATTACATTAGAACAGATAGCCTGCTGATCTCTTTGCACTAGATTTACAAACTGGTGCCAACAGTTCCCTTTGCGCACCAACCCCTGAGGCTCTAATCAATACCGCTATCCGTTTAGAGCGCTGTGTGCGGGCTGCTGACTTCTCAATCTGACTACAAGCTCCACGACACCTACCTACCTCCATAAAACACCAGATCAATCTACACATTATACTGTTGTTTTTCCCCACAGCTCTGTTCTGCTCATGTGCCTGGGTGAGAGTGTGATTTACGCTGTCACACTTTGGATTTCTGCACCTCATAACTCCTCAAGTGTTCTCCTACTTTAAAAATGATGGATGGAGACAGACCTTTGTTACAGTAGCTCTGAGCAGCAGGTAATCTGTTTTATGTGCATGTTTGGGTTTGTCTCAATTATTGTTCTGTTCTCCTAATTTGCGGCTTTTCACTACACCTTACAGCTCTAACTTTATCTTTGACGGGTACGTTCATAGAATAAATAAAATGTCTAATAATATAATGTGTTGCCACTTTCTCTGATCATGTTCAGAGCCTGTCTCACAGACCATCTTTGAACAGCCAGTTGTGAGACAAGCTCTGAAGATCATCAGAGATCCCTCCTATGTGCTTAACACACAAGATGAGCTCCTGCAGTGTGGGAGGAGATGCAGGGTTCCTTTATGTATAGTCTCCAGTTCAACATGTTTTTCTTTTGTCTTTTGTGATTTCATGTCTGTATGTTATGTTGATGCTACTGACCCCTGCTCTGAGTCAAATTTCTTCACAAGGAAATAAATGAAAACTTGAAACCAAAGATACAACTACAGAATTCACCTGAGGGAGCTGGGATAGAACTGTCAACTTCTGGGTCAGTGGATCAGACTATCAATGATATTTATGCCAGGATCAGAGAATGAACAATCCCTCAACATGTTTGTTTTTGCAACAATTGCATATCTTACTTTTTCTCTAAACCTTTAACTTTATTCTTGCTGAAACTCTTGTATCACCAAACACACCTGACAGTAGTCTATTCCAGTCTGCTGCACACATCTCATCATTGCGCTGACCCATTGACCCTAAGTACTTGAGATAAAACTTCTCTTCTACACCTATAACCTCACCATTGCGCACGGCTTCCTCTTTTTCACACCCTCTTATGTAATCTTCCTTCTTGGCAACCCTGTACTGTTGAAATATTTAGAAGATCAATGTCTTTTTTATTTTGAATTTGGGGAGATTTTCTGAAATAACTGAGATGGTTTATGACGGCATGCAAAAAAAACAACAATTACGTGTCTCTCATTTGATTTAACATCTAAAAATAATTTGGTATAAGACTGGAAGAAGCTTTCTTAGAGATAAATAGGGCAAATTCCATTATGTGTGTACAGTTTTGAAAGAGTCTTATATTTCATGAAACAAGTAATACAAACTATGAATTATTTCTGTCGGATATCTACAAATGAAAAAGTGTCTACAGTGCTTTTGTTGTGTTCTGTCCCTGTCAAAACAACATATAAATTCAAATAAGTTATGTGTCTTCTACTGCAATAAACAGCTGGCATACTGAATCTCAAATGTTCATCTTAAAACATAACATTTATTGGAGATCTAAAAATAATTGGGTACAAGACTGGAATACAGTTGCTTGGAGATGTTACTGATGAGAGATTCTGTTGGTAAAATTAGATTGTAAAGAGTCTCTGTAAAAAACTCAACAAAACAAGAAAACAAAATCAAAAACTGACAACAAAACTACTAATCATTTTGTAATAATGTACTATTTCTGTGTCTGAATACCCACATGTGAGTCTAGCACTGCTCCACATGCATTATAGATCAGTGCATACATGGTCAAGGCGACATCAGATCTTAAAGGCCAGTCTGTATTGGGCATTTAATAGGGTTGAGACCAAGGTTAATGAAAACCAGAGATGTCTGAGGCTTAATCACAGACCCTGACATGAGGATGAACCACCTGGGGCAAAAACCCTGCTCCTCCAGATGCTCTTCCTAATGTTATTTTAAAATAGAGCTTGTCCATGCTAGAAGTCAAATACATACAGTACAATAGGCATGGTCATAGTGTCTTACTATATAGTAGTTTCCATCCTATCTTCACTACTGTTCAGAGCTGCAGGTTTGACATGGTTTCCAGTGGTTTTAAATGGTCCCGAATGTCACAGAGATTACATCTGACTGACAGGACCATGTAGGAACCATTTAATTCACCTGCACGATATGTGAGCAAGGATTTGTCAAAAAATGTCATGTTCAGTTTTATTCAGCAAGAGTGGTACAGTGAGAGCAGTACATGAGGTAAAGTAAATTGTAGGTAATAGTATTTTAGCAGAAACAACAGCAGCAGCTGCAGTAGTAGTAGTGGTAGAGTGGTAGCAGTAGTAGTAGTAGTGGTAGTAGTAGCAGCAGTAGTAGATGTAATAGATGTAGGAAGTAGAAGTAGAAAGTTGAAGTAGAAATACCATGATATACAATATATAAGAACTAGGCCTAACGTATCTTGCTAAGCAACTTCAATAGGTTTCTGGGGTATTTTTTACTTAAAGGTCTACTGTGTTACCTTTATCAAATGAAGGTTCTGTTACCTGGTGGTGTCCATGGAGATTTTACGTATTTGCCTGAAATCTTTATTAAGGGGTTTGAAGAGAGGGCTTCATCCTAAAAAAAAAGCTTGCTGGTACCACATGGGGATGCTCAAGGGAGGTGCTCCTTGCAACCTACAAAGCCATCGGTAGGCCAGTGTTCAATTATGCAGCACCAGTCTGGACTCCAAACCTGTCCCACACTAACTGGGGGCACCTCCATTTTAAAGAAAATGCTGCCCTTAGGACAGTAACAGACTGTTTGCACATGAACCTGACTGACCATCTCCACCATGAAATGAATGTTATGAAAGTAAAAGACCACAACGTGATACTTAGCATGCAATTCCTCCTGTGGCTGCAGACTCCAGAACTAAATACTTCCACTCCCCACTCCTCGGACAAAAACTGTAACATCAGAGAGACACTAATCACCCTGTGCGGAGAGCAGGTCAAAGAAATCATAGGCACTGACAATACCAACATCAGTGAGAAATGTTACAGAAATGGGGTTCAGGTTATACTCCTACATATGGCAGCACAAGCCGCCTCAGCCTATACCCCCTCTGTCTGGGCTCAACACTCAGGTGATCCTGTCCCAAAAGTGAGTACTGAAGAACTGCCCAGAGACACCAGGTGCAGTCTGGCTCATCTGCGCTCAGGATACATTCGGCTCTTGAACTCATACCTCAGTCAGATTGACACTAACATCACTGACACCTGTCTGGGGTGCGGCCAAACATCTCATACAACATAGCTACTACTACTACTACCACTACCACTACAACAACTGGTCTCCATGGAGATAGATATGTTTAATGTCAAACTGTGGAAAAAAGCAAACCTTCTACCACAAAAGTTACACAGTGCACCTATATTTATAAACTTGGAGTACTCACATGTACGTGCAAATCCATACAGACTGCATATTTAATTGGTGGCAAAGGGAGCTAAAAGACACTTGCAGACGATATCATAAAATTTAGTGAGTGAAACATGAACAACTTGTTTAGATCTGTGAAATGTACTGCGAAAAAGGGGAATGAAAAAAGAAACAAAATTAACAGCTGCTGCCAGGAGCTTTAGAATCCAATTACGCCTGTGCAGCCTCGACGCACTGACAAACTGATAATATCACGCAGGCAGTGAAAAAAAGTGTGAGGGCTCATCATCTGCTACACTGGGTAAGCTAAAGTACTAGGATAAAATGGCTCCTCTATCCCATGTCTAATTGGACTGCTATTATAAGCGTGTAGATCAGGGTCAAACTATGGTTCAGACGGATGCCTATTGAAATGATCACTGGGTTTTCTTTCATGTAACAAAACTGAAGAAGTAGGAACCCTCTTTGGCTAATGAATTATTAAAATGACTATATTTTTAGACCAAAGTGCCAGTCCATTTATGATTCATACTAGAGGAAGACACTGCTTGGTTTGGGGTGTGCAAATATGAGAAGAAAGATGCTGGTTTCTCACCGCTGGGAAAAGTTATTGTTAGAAGTGTGAAAAATGAGAGTAGACACTTTTGGTGCTTAGGAAATGAGAATAAGTTTGAAGTGATGTAGTAATGTTTCAGAACAAAATGTCAAAACTATCACATACATCAGGTATAGTAAAGGTGCTATATTACACAAAATTGACTCTTGTGAGCTTTAAGTCATGTCAGAATGTTGTTGCCTCATCAGAAACACAGCTGGAGTTGTGTTTTGCTTCATTCAGATAAGTTTGAGCAATCCTGAATTATTAGTCTGACTAAATCTCCAAAGCTGAAAATGCTCTGTTCCACTTTTTGCCTTAAATTTTGTAGAGATTGGCAAATTCAGGGCTGAAATAATCCAAATGATTCTAGTGAAGGTGTATGGAGTTCAAAAACAGTGGAGCACTTCCTGTATTACCACATGACATCACAAGTTGGAACAGTGTGTTTTCAGTGTTAGCAAAGAACACATCTTAAATATGCATGGTTTGTGTGTTCAATGTGTGAATGAAACAAAACACAACTACAGGGATTTTTTTGATGAGGAACCAACATTATAACATAGATCAGAAAATAATCTAATATAGGACCTTTAAGCTCCCATAACTAATCACCAATAATTTATTCATATGGATTAGCTAGCCAGAAGCAGAGAGCGCTGCATATATGTTGTCATGGCACCTCTCAGTGGGTGGGGTTCTAAGCCTGTTCTTTAAGTTAATGAACAGAATTAATTATGACTCGTTGACGGTGAAATAATGATTAGTTGACTGTGTATCCATAACTAATTATGTTAATGTAGTTATGCTTTAGTATGCACTGACTTATTGGTTGGTCTGTAGCAACATCCCAAACAATTAAAACAAATTTTGATTCAACCATTTTAATGAACCAATGGTCAACGTAATAATGTTTGGTTTTGAATTTAAAACATGCCTTTGACTTTTTGTTTTATTATGGGATATTTTTGGCATTTTTTATACAATGGGCAAAAAAGTGATAGATTTTACAACCAATGACTTACTGTCCATCACATATGGCTAAGAAATTGAAAAGCCAATCCAATTATTCAAACAGTGTTAGGGAGGGGATGACTTGCCTTGCAGAAAGATGGACTAGCATACCAAATGGTGAACAGTGTAATAGGAGTTTCCTGTTTTACCTGTAATGGGATTTCATTTGGCATTCTAGTCACCTAAATACCACTTAGGTTTAGTTCGTTTCCTCCTGTGTGCTTTCACAATCTGTAAAGTGCAGAGTGCACTAAAACAACACATATTTGCTGTAGCCTGCTTTCCACCTCATAAACTCAAGATATAACTGCTTAATCGATGATGGATAGCCTTTGCCAGAACAGGAGATAGATGGCTTCCAGACTGCTATTGTGAAGGCCTTGAAGCACAGGTGATCAATACAAAACACACTTCATATTACCTGCAGTAAAATACTAAAAACCTGGATAAAAGATGACCTTTTGAACTGTGCAAAAAAAAATCCTAACAAATTATTCAATCAATTTATATGTGCCATTTTGTTTTTAAACAAACTCTGAAATGCACTTGTGACAATTTTAATGAAAACAAATCAGATGAGAGTGCTTGTGGTAGAAAGCAGAAGTCTCATGCATGGCTGGGGTTAAGAGATGTTTTATGGTACTTTGTTGCTGTTATGCACAGGCATAATTTTGTGCTTTGTTGGAAGGTACATTGACAGTGTCATGGCAATGCCGGGTTGGGTTATATCGAGGTATAGTGGTTCTTTTTAAAAATCTCTTTTGTGTTTGATTTGTTTAATTATAATGACACCACAGTATTATGTTTACATTGTGGTGTTGTTAAAACAAAAACAAAAAAAATAGGGACCTTCAAAGAACTGCAGTGCAGATCTCATTCTTCGTTTGCACACTTTTTGTCTTTGGAACTAGCACGCAGTCGCAACTTTTATTAGATGTGCATGTCTCTATCTACCGGTATTGTTTTGTTGAATTAGCCACTATAATGGCACATCTGTTCAAACAGTTTATGCTGGTAAAGTAGTAACAATTTATAGACCTCATACAATCATTATTCATTTTAAGTAGTTATAGTAGGATCTGCTTATGCACATATTTAAATTCAAATTACTACAATTACTAAAACATTAAAATGCAGTGTTATTATTTAGTCAAGGGTTTAAATGTGCACTATGTAACTTTTTAGGTGGAGGGTCTGCCATCTGCCTCTTGAAATGTTATTGTTTGTCTGTTTCACAGTATAGCTTTAAACCATGGAACAAGCAAGAAGCAGACCCTCCACCAGAAATGTAATGTAGTGCACCTTTAAAGAGTAGATATTATGCAAACTGCCTGCCTGAAGTGGTCATCCATGCATGAATGAGTAATCTAGGGATCTCTCCCAGGCCATATAGAAACCCCCCTCACAGTTAGCTGTAAGGCTCTGTCCAGCGCGCGATCCACAAGTCTACATCACCCATGCTTACACATGACAACTCTCCAAAAATATGCAAAAGAAAGATGCAAAACAACACACTACAACTTTACAAACCTGTTGCACTGTGCATTTGTTTCATTAGTGGGATGTACACTGATTGTGTTGTGAATTAGTGCTGGCTCTCAAGAAGAAAATCTGGAAATTAATTGTCTTTTTATCTGTTAGTTCTATTACCTTCTTAATGTGCTACTGGCCAGTGTGTGGCAGGAATGGTACCGCAAAAAGACTATTGGTGGTTCAATGAGCTGTGAAGCATTTCAGTAGTGTTCACTGTGTTAATGCTCAACAGTATTATTCCAGTGGCACAAGAACAGTTTTCTACAGAGCCTGCAGCCATTTTGAAAGTCAATGCTTACCACAATAGTTTGAGCTAGACATCTTTGCATGTAACAGAGTGGTTACACCTCTTGCCTTTGTAAGAGGCTGAGGGTTCAGTCTCACTGAGTCTGCTTGTTGTATGTTCTCTGCAGTTACTGTTTTTTACAAACATGAAGAAAGGTGAACGGAGTACAAAATTAATTCTCATTGAGTGAGTGAATGAATGTTCTGCCTGTCAGGGTCTTTGTGTTAGGCATGCAACTAGTCCATGAAGACTTGAGATCAGGACCATAAGTCGAACATTTGAGCTGTAATAAAAATGTTAATATCTGCTGATGATAGTTCCTAAAGTACCACTAATTACAATCCTCTTGTGAAAGGCAAGTATAAAATTGCTCAGGGTAATTCCGTGTTTACTGGGATCTAATTTATAGCAAGTGTGAGAGTAATGTAAACGTGGGATGTTAATTGGCATCACAAATCACGTTCCACGGGGCACCATTAAATTCGCAGCATGTTGCTGTAGCAGAGGTGGCAATGGCAGCCATGACAGTATTGCACTGGCTGCCCCCACGCCAGGCTCCTGTTGCTGCTTTGGAGATGTCTCATTTCATTTTTCCTCTTCATACATAATATGCTTCACAAATTTGCAGACACACTTTTAAACAGGCCACAACACCTTTTGCACATTTTACCTTTATTGTTGCCTTGAGGTTTCGCCAGCAGCAATTGATTTAATCCCAGTGGGAGGGGAGCCAGATCACTGCCACATAAATCAAGCTGTACTTTCATTCGGAGCGCTTAACACAGGTAGACATCTGTAGAGTACCAGGTGGAGGGGTTGCCTTTCGGAACAAGGCTTAATGATGATGGTGATGAAACCTGTAGCCCATATTCTCTTCAAATTCGCTTTCATGCGTTAGTTCTTACATAAGTTTATAAAACATTAAGTGACCTATACGCGCGTGGCGCGTCGCATCTCCCTCTGGAGATGCCAAAAAGGAGGAGTAAAGCAGCGGGAGGAGGAGGAACAGACCCGTGCCTGTGACAGCGACAGTCGCTCCCTTCTCCCCTCCTCATCTTCATCCTCCTCATCATCACCATCAGTAAGAGCAGCTTGCTTTTAGCTTCTTTGGAATAAGACGCTGTGGCCGTGAGTAGATACGCGTCACGCGTCTTCAAGAGGCGCTCCACTCGAAGGGAACATGGGGGAATGGCAGCTGCAGTGGACCAAATGTATGGATCAAGAAATTAAAATAAGTATTTATTTATGACACCGGACCGACTTAACGCTCTATTAAGGACCATTAAAAACCAAAAGGTAAGACATGCATTCGACAGTACGTCCAATTTGTTCCAAATTGTCAGTCTCACCACAAATTCGAGATTAGTGTATTGTGCGAGAAATCAAGATTTTTATATATACTGGCAAAATAAGTATTTTATGCAGGTACTCCTCCTGGTACGCGACGTAACCCATTTGGATTGTGATTTCGCTAAAGGAAAAAAACAAAACAAAAAACTAAAACCTTTGGGCAGATGTGTAAACAACTATAAAATGCTGGAATTGAAAATTGCTGAAATGTGATCTTAGGGGATGGTTCTTTTGTATTCTGTAGTCCAAACAGTTAAATCCTGGTCGTTTGTCAGGTTAAAGGAATGAATATTTTAACTGGAGGAACAACCCCTTGCTTGAAGATGAAACTGTGTATCTATCTGCCCCCTTGTGGCTTTAACTTAGCTAAATCTGAGAGGCACACATCAAAGAAAAAAACAAACAAACAAACAAACAAAAGATTTAATTCTACCTTCGCGTCTAATGGATTTTTCCTACAAACGCAAGATTTATTTGACCTGTATATTGCATTAGTGCATTCTTTTTTTATTCGTCAGCATAATATTTTTGAAAAGTCTAAATAACATAGCTAGTTACTAAAACTCTAAATTCCATGCTTTCAAAAGGTACATTCTTACTGCACGTCTTGCAAATTTCAAGTGGACTCCTCCATTCATCACAAATGGCCCACATTCAGATTGTTCCCTGTGTGACTTCCTGTTATGTAATTTCATCCCATCACACTGCATCAGCCTCACAATGTTTGCTGCTTATATGAGCTTGCATGGGATATATATAGACACTAGTGCAAGACTGAGGCGAGTTAAAAGGTAACTTACTTACAGTAGCCTATACAGTAAGAGAATCCCTTTTTCTGGTGTGTTCTGAAATGGGCGTGTGACCAAATGAAAACATGAAGAACATCTCATAGTTTAAATTCTATTCATTTGTGTTCTTTTTTCATGTTTAGTTTTGACACCTGACACCCAAAGAAACATGGACGGATCCTCACCTTCTCTTCAGTATGGCTCCAAAAAGCGTGTGAAGATCCACCCAAACACAGTGACAGTGAAATATGCTACACACTTCCCTCAGCCGGGGGACGAGGGCTACGATGATGCCCCCTCTTTTGAGGAGTTTGGGGCCTTTGCAGAAGCCAATGCAGGAAAGAGACTGGTCACAGACAGTAAAGGAGGCAGGACTTTCTTTGGGACAATGGATACTCAGCCTAAGCAGCCCGTTGCACCCAAGGACAAAGGGGTGGAGGGTCAGCTTGCCAGCTTTGGGGAGGCTAATGTCCTAGCCTCAAAAGTGACCTGGATGGCCCTGTTTGGGGCAGCAGTGGCACACGGTTGTGTGTCCCTGATCACACGTTTAGCAGCAGACCGCTCCAAAGTGCCCTCCCTGGAGCTACTCTTCATTCGCTCTGTCATTCAAGTGCTGTCCATCCTTGTGGTCCTCTACTACCATGAGGCTCCCTTTGGTCCTAAGGGCTACAGGCTTAAGCTCTTCTTCTATGGCGTCTGCAACGTGATCTCCATCACCTGCGCCTACACCTCCTTTGCCATTGTCCCGCCCAGTAACGGCACAATCATGTGGCGAGCCTCCACCACAGTTTTCAGTGCCATCCTGGCCTTTCTGCTGTTGGACGAGCGTCTTGGCTACACAGACGTGGTCACTGTGGTGGGCAGTGTGTTTGGGTTATGCCTGGTGATGGTGCCCAACATTGCAGATGAGGAGAAGTCCAGGCTGGGCTTTTGGAAAGAGGCCTTTGGGTATACAATGACAGTGATGGCGGGTTTGACTGCGGCCCTGTCCATGATAGTCTACAGGGCCATAAAGGAGCGGGTGAGCATGTGGACAGCGCTCTTCACCTTTGGCTGGACAGGCACCGTGTGGGGGGCTTCCACTATGTTCATCATGCAGGAGCCCATCATTCCTCTGGACATGGAGACCTGGGGCTATCTCACAGGCATCTGTATTTGCTCCACAGTGGCGTTCCTGGGAGTCTACTATGCTCTGAACAAATTCCACCCAGCCTTAGTCAGCACCGTGCAGCACCTGGAGATCGTGGTGGCCATGTTCCTGCAGCTCATTGTGCTGAGGATGGTCCCATCTGTGTATGATGTCATCGGGGCTCTTCTCATCATGGTCTCTGTGTTTACGCTGACTGGAGTCAAGTTGTACAGGGTGAGCCGGGCCATCAGGCAGGACTACCAGGAGATCCTAGACTCACCCATCAAATGAGAGTCACAATGTCAGTCTATATGTTTACAGTGTTGCTTGGTTGTGCAGTTTAATGAATGTCTGGATCATTTGATGATTTTGTATTGTGTTGTTTGCAGAGTGCTGGTTGTGTATCTAATGTCTTAATATGTCTGTGATAAAAGACTAATGTAAATGATGATTCCCTCATAGTTCAAACAAAACAATAACAAAACTAAATTCACTTTTGTTTTTGATCAGGCCTAATGAACGCTAGCTAAAAGGATATAAGAATATAGACTGTGAGGAAGCAGGAAATGCCATAAACATTGTTAAATGTCTCTCTCTGTTGTTACACTGCCACACTTGCACTGTGTAATTGTGAGCCCAGAAATCGTACAAGAAACTGGTTAATAAAAAACAAATACCACATTTTAAGGTAAATGTATGACTTTTTTCAATAGTTCTAAATTAATATTTCATGTATTTATATAATTAAAGACTATTTGTCTTTTAAATTGACTTGTAAATCTGAACAGGCCTCATGATCTATGATTAATGTTCACCAGCTCTCACCAGTTATTTTGTGGTTGCACTCATTAGTTAACTTTTATTAATAGTGACTCTCTGGTTGCTGTTTTCATACTGCATGTGACAAGCCCAGTGTAGCCAATTCATATGCTCTAACAACATGGTAAGGTATGTAGTGAATGTAGTGAATGGAAGTGTCAGTGATGATTTATTTTAGAATTTTGTAGTTGGTCCGTCTCTGTGAATAATTCTGAGCCATACTATATGCACTAGTATGAATTTATAATAGACTTTGCGGTGCACGACAGCATGTTGCATTACAGATGTTGCACCAATAGCCCAGCAGGTGGCATGCACAATCCATTTTGTAGAAAGGCTATTGCAGACCTGCCTGAATCATCTTTATCTTTGCTTAGGGCTTATACTATTATATCAGTACACAATATTGGGCTTTTTGCCCAAAATTCTCCAGTCCATTGCATTTAAGTAGGCCTAGGCCTGTAAAGGTTTGAGATAGGATCTTTAGCTACTTTTGTAACTGTCATAAGAATAAGTAAATGTTGTCCTTATTCTTGATCTTTGAGTAGCCTGTGATATTATACAAATCATCAGCAACAGTAGGTTTACAGGGCAAAAGGAGGAACTCTTATTCAATGTAATTTGCTTCAGTCTGTTTGATATAAACAAAGTGTAAAACACGTAAGAACACGTAAGCCTAATCACACAGTAGACTAGTTCAGATAGGCCTATTTGGGGACTGCAGCCCAGACCCACGGTGTGTACGACAGTAAAATTCTGATGAATACTGAGCTGCAGTTGCAATATGAATGCAAAACAACCAGGAGCTGCAGTGTAAATGATTGACGGCGCCCCTTTCCAATCACAGTACAGTTATGTGTTCTAAGCCAATCACAGAAAGAAGGCGGGACCTGCGGTCTGAACAGCTAGCGGCAGCTAGCATTAGCCTAGGCTAGCCGCTATGCAGAGAGCAGTGACATGCTCTGATACACATACAGAAATGCCACTCCATCAGGGCAAAGGCTTTCATCCGCTATGCTAGCACCCGAAAACATCTGTAAGCTTTCTGTGATTCCGAATGTCGTTGGCACATCATCTCGTCCCCTCTATGGCATTTCTACACGTTCATGATTTCTATCGGAGAAAAGAAAACTGACTACAAATCAGGTAAGACGCGGTAAGGCTGACTTTGCGTCTGATTTGTGTCTACAGTAAGGTACAGGCTAACACACCAACATTTTTCATCCGAGCCACTGCCACAAATCTCCGACTCTATCCCTGAATTTCCATCGAATAACAGCTAACAAACCCATTTGTTCATCCCAACATGGCTAGCGTTAACACACTTCTCCACTCTACTCCAGCAGCAGGCTAACGGGATTTCTCCATATGACTCCGTTATTCCTGTGTAAAGAAATCTTATGTTTGTGCTCATCCTGGTGAGCCAGCGTGTCAGATTTACGCAGCAGAATTGTGCCAATGTAAGGTTTGATATGTGAACCCAATGTGTTTCTCATTGTTGTTACAGTAGATTTGTAGCACACTCTTTTTACTACAGTGTGGTAACGAAGCCATTTTCCTCGAGTTCTTCTTGTCTATCAGTACATAAGTAGCATAGCCTACTATTGTGAGTCCACCACAAATACATACTTTTATATTAACGTGTTCTCCCCTATTTAGCTGTAGATGGACTGAATTGACAAAATTCTTGTCACTATGTAGGTTGTAACTAGCATTACTTGTTGCATGTGTTGTCTTTTCTAGTATGTAATCCATGTCAGCTGAATATGTGCTTTATTTGTCCCCCCTGACAGACATCTTCTATCATGTGGGATTCAGGGAGGTGAGAAAGGAATGACACTTGGCCTCCTGAAGTCTTTTTCTTGATGGGAGTGAGAGGGAGGACTAGAGGCTTAATAGTTTTGCACGAGTGTCCTGTTTGTTGTTTTACTGTAGTTACTGTACATGGCAACATGACAGTAATAGTATTCTATTGTATGCCCTCTGCTACTTAGCCTGGTAGGCCTGGTCATTTTTCATATTTTCAAGTTGTGTCAACCCATCAAAAAAAGTCAAATTAGTTTTAATGAGTAACTCTCCAGCACTATTAGGTTTCATCAAGTTGAAAATGCATGCTTTATAAAGTTTAAAATGTAGGCAGTTTTCTTGATGGGCAACACTTATACTAAATCTCAGTGTGGTTAATATATTTGCTGTTGTAGAGTAAATGTTTAACTTCCCCTTTTACGGAAAAAAGAAGTTTCAGTTTCAGACGTGTTTTATTTGTTCATTATGTATTTCCCCATGTGGTGGTAGTTGTAAAAAGAGGATGTGAGCACAAATGGTATCTTTAAGAAACCCTACATACAAATTTCTCTTGTGTAATGTCTTGTTTTTCTATCTAGTGTAATTTCTTGTGTTGATATTGTCCTTGCATTTCAGTATGACAGTACAATGTGGAAGTATCTTTTGCCTGAAAGGCTGTTCAAGTCCCAACATGTGTCTTCCTAAAATCTCTACCCCAAGTGGCTTGCTCGACCCTACTGACAGCACCCTAGGGCTCATATATGTCAGGATGAACAGGAAGTCAGAGTATCCATTTCACCTTTCTGAGATAATTATCTGCTTTACAAATGATTTGCCAAGTTAACTGCAGCTTGGCTCTTGTTTCTGAACTCTGCAGAAGTTTCAGACTTTTCTTCAAGGTTGAATATAGAGTTTTACTACCATATTAAAGCTAAGTACTTTCAAAGAACCAGATAACCTAATGTGTCAGAGGTTTTGTCACTCATCCTTCTGTTTTCTAAAGTTGGATTATTTTTTTTTGGAAATCCCCAAGAGTGGGCTGAGTTGTTGAGGCAATCTAAAATGCTTATTTTTGCTTTTGCCTTGATTTCAGATGTGGATGTGGCTGTGATTGGACCAGTAGCTGCAAGTAAATAGACCACCCAGCACTACTACGACTGGTGACTGCTGCAGCAATCCAGCGGGTGTGGATGTGTGTGCTCTGCTAAAGTAGGTAGGTGGTGTCTCTAGAAATGGATCCTTTCTTCCATAGAGCCATTATCTTCTGTGGGTTTCTTGTAACAGATAGGATGTCAGTTTTTCCTGCTCCGGGGTTTTTGCTTAGGGCTCATTTGAGACTCATTCAATTAAGATTTAAGGACATTAGCACACTGCATTCGTATCCATGTTTAACCAGCTCAGCATAGTATAGTATCCCCCCTTTGTTACATTTTTGCTGAAATGAATGCTTCCATCACGAAATGGACCTGAAATGCAGATACTAATTTTAATAATCGTTTGGCTATTAAAGTCCTATTAAAATATAGCACTGGATCAGAGAAATGTTGTGAAAGGATGTCACTTATTACTGAAAGTCCCCTATTTGATGTATTATTATTCATGTATATTCACACATAAAATACAGAACCAGAAGCAGATCTAATTATAGCGTATAGAATGTTTAACCCTGTTATAGTTGTTTCCTGTTTTCCATTTACCCTCTTGAAGTTGTATTTGGAGTGATTAATGCATGTTTGAGCAATCTTTATCACTTATTTTCAGGACGCCATATTACCGATCAACCCCTTTCACCGCCACCAGCATATGGCCATTGCTCTGTGCTTACTTAGTTCTCTCATTTTAATTTCTTAATCAGTGATACACGTAGGATTCAGCAGCATTTCTGTACAAATGAAAAATAAAAAATCTTCTACTAGCTAATGTGCTCTGCAGCTATCTATAGGGGTTGCAGACTCTGGAAGTCAGCTGATATTTCTTTATTGAATCATCTCAGATCAATATTGCAATTTAAAATATGCAAATGCAGACAAACATTTTGTGTAAGGGTAATTAGAATGCTTTTTGGTACATTTCTGAATGGTTAATAACTGAACAGTATTATATTAGGCTTTTAGTGATCCTTAAATTTTTGTCTGCCTAAAACCCCTTCATCCATCAATTTGAAAGAAACATCAACTGCTGCTAATTTTACCAATGAGTAAATCATCAATTCTCAAAAGACACTAGCAAGCCACTGAGCTATTTTAGGCAATTCCCAAGTGCTGTGGGCGATCCCTTGGGGCGCCTAACCAAATAGTGTCACTCGTGCCTACACACTTCTCTCTCTCTCAACGTTTTATGATATTTTAAAGTAACAATCCTCCCCAGCAGTAATTGTCGAGTGGATACTAAAGCCCAAAACTTTCTCTCATAACTTGTGTCTTGCACTCTACTGAACTCCTGGGGTCAAGCCTGTGCTCTGTCAAATTGCATCACTTTCTCATCCTCTGCTCGCCCCGGTGTCCACACTTCCTGTCCCACAGCTGGCTTGCCAAATCTCCCATGACCCTTTGCTGCTGCGCTGCTGTTGTGTTATGAGAGAATATGGGACGGGATGAGCTTTGTCTCTCTTGGGTTTTTCTGGGCTTATGTGAAAGTGAAAAAAAGTCTTTGTGATTTTTAAATTTTTTTTAGAGTAAACCTGTATAGTGATTTTAAATGTACGTTTGAGGTATGACGGAGTTGTGCCGCTCAGCCAGAGGGCTCCAGCCTAGCGAGCACATTCCAGAAGGCAGCAGAGCCCTGTGATTTTAGCAGGCTGTCCCGGGGATTAGGTTACTCTGTCTGCCACTGTGAGCTCATGTTGGTGCTGTCTCAGTCCACACAAATCCTGCCTACTCCGGCAATACAACACAACCGACCATAGTTCTAGTGAGAGGACATGATCCAGCTGCTATTGAGATTTAGATTGTTTTTGAGTGTTTATGTTGACCATGGCCCCCCACATTTCACAGTGTAAAACATGATTAAGGGCTATGTGCCAGTCCTCCGTTGCTTGGA